GGCTAAAAAAAGGAAATTGTGTTTGTTTATTTGTTTTTGTTTTTTACATTTAGTTTGTCAGGTAGATGTAAAATATTGCATTTTTATATTTTGTATTTTTTTTTTTTTGGAGCTACTAGTATAAGTTCTGGCTCCTTTTCACTTTACCTCCTTATCTGAAAAAAGTCTCAGTAGCTCAAGCTGGAATTTAAACACAGAAGTAAATGAATCGGAGCAGTGACTCCTCCCACTCCAGAGCAGTGACTCCTCCCACTCTATATCCATACAGCTGCTTCTAAGTTTGCAGTAGATGGGGTGTCTAAAAATAAACAGCCTCTGCTGTCTTCTCTCTTTATAGAGGTAATAGGCTTCCAGAAATCCTGTGCACTGTGTATTAAATCTTAACTACAGGTTGGGCAAAGATAAAAATGGGTTGGTTAGAATGGATGAAGCAGTTTGCTGAGTAGGAGAAAAGTGACTATGATAACAAATGGCTATAACATACGATAGGCTTTACTGAACAGGTGTGTTGTCGGGGAGTGCTTTAAGCATTTATAAACAACAGGCATCCCCGGTGGAGTGAGGGAAGAGCGCTGCAGAGTAAAGGTGCAGAACAAAAGAAGTCTTGGACATGAAGGTAAGGGGTGGTTACAAGGATGAATGACAGATCACTTTTGGATGATATAAGGGGACAAGAGAAAAGTTGGTTCAATACTAATGAGAGCCTTCTGATAGAGCCAAGAATTTAAAATATATGTCTAGGCAAGATTAAAATAAAACATGTTCCGTGCATCTCTGCAGTACACGTTTTCCCATGTTTTAACATTTAAAAATGTTACCAGTACATAAAATCCTTGTTGATCTGCCAGATGTCCAGAGAGCTCCTAAATCCTTTACTGACAAGACTGCTGCATCAAAATTCCAGTCAATGTTGTCAGCCCTGCTTGGTATACAGGACTCCTGTCCCTGATGTTGTGGAAATAAGGAGAGAGAGTGTTCTGTAGTCCAGCATAAGAAAACTGGGCACAGCTGATAATACTAAGAAAAAACACAGTGCAGCGCTAAAAAGTTGAAACAAGAAATAACTTGAGTGATATAAAAAAGTCCCGTGGTAACTAGAAATACCAGTAATACATAAAAACATATGTCCAAGGTATAAATGTCGCAAGCAATGATAAAGTGACAGTGTCCGGTGATAACAAATCCAAATCAGTAATGGTAGCAGATGTATCATCTATCTTATCCCAGTGTGAGAAAATGGTGATCCAGTGAAGAGCAACAATAATGGTAAGAATGCGCACTCACCGGAAGCGCAATCTTAATGCGCATTGATCAGATATAGAGGTCTCCTTTAGGTACAGCCTGGTGTAGAATCTCCTTCTCTGTATAGAGGTTGTCACTCAGAGTGTTCTGGTCAATGGCTTCCTTCCCTAGATCCGGACAGGTCGCCTGGTGTCCTGCGATGCCACAGGGGCCGTACTGCGTGGTATAGAGACGGGAGGTGTCGGGGGCGCGCCTGGGACTCCTCACCACAACAACAACAATCGCCACCTCCACCGAGTGCACTCCACCCACTCACGGTGGAGTGCACTTGGTGGAGGTGGCGATTGTTGTTATTTATTGTTTCAACTTTTTAGCGCTGCACTGTTTTTTCTCATTATCTCTGGAAAGGTTTGTGGTTCCTTTTTGTGTGAGATCCCAGTGCAACAGAGGCAGAATTGTCAACTCGCTACAGGAGAGCTCACTAGATTTCTGGCAGATCAGTAGAAAGTTTTTTCTACTTACATTTTTCTAGAGGTCAAACATGGGAAATGTGCTTGTATTTTTTTTATTTACCCAAACATATACTTTAACATAATCCTTGAAGAAAGTAGGACCAATGCAAAGGTTTGCAACTGTTTCAAGAATCCAACTGCTTTGTTTTATTTTTAATTTCCACTTAATGAAATATTAAAGTTCGGGCACTAAATTTCCCTCAGGTGTGAGTGTTCTTTATCCAGTATTCCTCACCACTGAAGCATTCAATTTTCTCCCCAAGAACGGAGATCATCTAATGTTTTATTATATATATACAGAGTAACAGACAAAAGAACAGTAGGCTGCTTGGCTCCCATAGAGTATTAATGGCAGACTGCAGGTTTATTTCTAGAGCTAAGCTGGGCCCTTGAGAAGTAATTATTCTGGAATTAAAAAATTACTATCCAGGAACACCTGACACCTGTCAGGCCTACAGCACAATTATATGATTGGGGATGGTACGGTGAAAACACAGTACTGCATGAAGAGCACGTTAAAGATGAATACTGGGCAAAATCATTTTGATTTAGATATATTCCTGAGTAGTCACAAATGTTTTAAATTCTGTTAGTGTGCACCAAATGCCTTTGCAGACCCAGATATTACCTTGTAAATGTGGAGAACATAACCTGTCCAGACAGCAGAGCTGTGAGAAGGACCCAGAAGATTTCACCCACTGTTGGTTACCTGCATAAAACTACAGGAGGGGAGGATAAAAGACCAGTCACCCTGCACAAGGAGAGAGACTAGCAGTGACCGGTCTTTATTACAGGAAGCTCCTGCACTTTCACAAAGGCAATGTTTCACACAGGATTACTGAATGTAATGTAAATGTGTATAAGTACCGGCACCCAGAGGAAAAGTGTATTAGAGAAGCTTCAGCCAGATTTAAAAAATATTAAAAGTCAGCTAATAAACTGTAGCTGCAGACTTTTAATAAAACACACACTCATCTGTCCAGTGATCCAGTGCCATCCTCACCCAGGACGGTTCTTCACTGGTCTTTGGGGCCCTGGCATGTTAACTGTGGGAAGCGGGCTGTGATTCCTTGCAGCTTCACAGCCGGCTTCCCACTACGCATGTGCAAGCCATGCTGTGCTTTATGACTGGTCCTTTAGGATTGTGGGCCTGTGACGTGTCACAGAAGGCTGTGGGAAAAGGAGGGGGGGGGGGGGGGGGCGGGGGACATCCACTTGGATCTTCTAGGTGATCCAAGTGGGGGAGGGTCCCTGTCAATAACAGGTACATGCTCCTCCCAAGGAGTGTTTGGGGGGGGGGGGGGGGAGCGGAACTTTCCTTTTTTGGTGAAGTTCTGCTTTAACCCCCACACGTGGAAAGGATTCTTCGCAGTAGAGCTGTAAGAAGTGGAATGGTCCTCCCGTGGTAGCCAGTTCCAGCCAGCTCTGTAGGTTGCTGCAAGAAAGGGCTGATTTTGTATTTCTAAAATCAAAAAATGTAAACGCTTACTAAGACTTTTTAGAAATAACATATTGTTCAAGGGAGTGGCCAGTTGCCTTTGGGAACCCTGTTGGAACAAATTTAATCCTGAGTTATAAAAGATTATTTTGTGTTTTCTATGTATAAGCTTTGGGTTTAGGTTCCTGAGTATGAGTATTTTTTTATTAGTTTAACTATTGGTTACATTTAGTAGATACCGATCCTGCTGACAGGTTAAGGGCCTTCTACGGCCCTGTACAGCTCTCCTAGAGTAACTGCCCGTCTCCTGGAATCTCCTCCATGCTCTTGAGACTATGCTGGGAGACACAACAAACCTTCTGGCAATGGTACATATTGATGTGCCATCCTGGAGGAGTTGGACTGTCTGTGCAACCTCTGTAGGGTCCAGGTATCCCCTCATGCTACCAGTAGTGACACTGACCCTAGCCAAATGCAAAACTAGTGAAAAACAGTCAGAAAACATGAGTAGGGAAAAAATGTCAGTGGCCTCCACCTGTTTAAAAAAATTCCTGTTTTGGGGGTCGTCTCATTGTTGCCCATCTAGTGCACCTGTTAATTTTATTAACACCAAAGCAGCTGAAACTGATTAACAACCCCCTCTGCTACTTAACTGACTCACTATCCCAGGAGTTTAATGACTTGATGCTGTACTCTGATTAAAAAGTGTTCCTTTAACTTTCCCGAGAAGTGCGTGTGTGTGTATGTGTATATATATGTATGTGTGTGTGTGTGTGTGTGTGTGTATGTGTGTGTATATATGTGTGTGTGTGTGTGTATATATATATATATATATATATATATATATATATATATATATATATATATATATATATATATATCTATCTATCAATATTATGCTCCCTCCAAAAAAAAAAACCCAAGTGCAGGAAAATACTGTAGATCCTGCCAGAAACCCAGTGAGCTCTGCAGTGAGCTGACAACAGATTGCTGCATTACATTTCCAAGCTGCATTAGCCCTGTCCAGTTACCCTCTGCTGGGCTACCAAACACCTCCTATAGTATAGAGAAGGGGATGTTTTTTGTAGTCAAACATAGAGAGAATTTTGGACAGGATTGTGAATAGTCACACAATCCTACAATTTATTGTTGAAAGATTCTCAACTCCTTTAGTAAATCAATGCAACTGTATTGTCAGCTCAGTACAGGAAGTTGGCAGCTCATTGGGTTTCTGTTAGTTCAGCAGGTATTGTCTATATAATGTGTTTGTTTGTTTGTTTGTTTGTTTTTTTGTTTTTTGGTGTAAGCAGGGATTATATATATATTTACGTTGGAATTGTTACCTATACCTTAAGTGCTAGCTGCTGCTATATATTTGTATTTAGCGCTCGCCTGCATTCTTTGATTATATCTATATATTAGGGATTTTACCTTCTTTTACCAAAACAATATTGTTATGTATTGTGTTTATGTGCACTAACATGACCCTTAGTGTATTTTTTTATGAAAATTTTCACTTTATAAACTGTTGTGTTAATATTGTGTGACATGAAAATTGGAACTGCCAACATTTTATTCTCAGGATCTCTGCTTTTACAAAATATATACTGTTTGGGGGTTTTAATTAATGTTCAGGCCTAAAATGAATTTTAAAATTATCTTTCCGGGTTATCAAATGTAACATAATTTCTATCCGATCTTCACATACAGTCAGTGAAAATGCATCTCCAACCAATCGACTGCCAGAGTCTTGTAAGAACACAGAAATGTGGTCAGGGAAAATCTGACCAGCTTTTAAACTAACTGTTTTGCCTCTGTTCTCTACAGCTGATGGAGTTGCCCTTGGAGCCGCGGTTGCATCTTCTCAGGTCTCTGTACAAGTCATTGTTTTCTTTGCGGTCATCCTGCATAAGGTGAGAGAGGTTTAAAGAATACCTACGTATTTTCTTTTCCTAACACACAAAGGCAAATCGGGGGATTTTGCAAGCATAACCATTCAGCTTGTTCCTTCATCTTGCTGTCTGAAATCAACAAATGTTTGTTTAAGTCCTCTTTTGTTTCCTGGTCTCTGACAAAGCTGTTGGAGATTTCCTCCAATATCAACAAAGCATCCCTGGTATCCATCTAGATATTTGAGCTCACAGCCCTCTGTCTCCTGCAAAAAGCAAGAACATCTAAAGAGGTTTCAGGGATACTTTACCACTTCCAATAAGAGAAGTGAAGGATGCCTGCCTCTCAGGATTTTCTTCTTATTTAACTTTTGGGTTGTGAGCAATTCGATTTTCTGGGGAGTTACTGGACTACATTCACATGAGCATTCCTAAAATCAATATTAATCGAGTGCCCAGTCATGAGAAGAACAGATTATTTGCTTTTTGTCTTGGCACCACTTTGCATGTATTCTTTTAAAGATTCTTCCTCTTGTATAATTCTCTTGCTTTCAATCATCTCATGAAACAAAGTGCAAGCTGACCTTCAAATGATTTATTTGAGGCAGCTGACAGTCTCTCTCTCTGATTATTAATACAGCATTTGTATCACACCATTAATCTAGCGCCTTTGCATACTGTGTGTTCACAAGAGTCTCTGTGCTCGAGGAGCTTAAAATCTAAGGTCTTTATCTCACATACACACACACATACGAAAACCAATTTTGGACAGTAGTCAATTATCCTTCCAAGTTCTCTTTGGAACGTGGAAGGAAGCCCATGCAAGCACAGGGAAGACATGTAAAAACCCCAAGCAAATAGTGTCCTGACCGGGGTTCAAACCCAGATACCCAATGCTGCAAGGTAGAAGGACTACATTTCCAAAGAATGGAAAGGGGGGCATAACTGAAACCTTCAACTACATTAAGGGTGTGAATAAGGTTCAGGTTCAAGATCTAGAAAACGAGGACATGACCTCAAACTATCAGGTGGAAAATTCTAAACTAATATTAAAAAGCCAAAATGTGAGAATTTATATTGAGCACTTTTTTGTTCTTCTTAGGCCCCAGCAGCGTTTGGTCTGGTCTCGTTCCTCATGCATGCAGGATTAGAGAAGAAACAAATTCAGAAGCACCTACTGGCATTTTCAGTTGCTGCACCTCTACTTGCCATTACAACGTACATAATTCTGACAATGGTAAGCTGATCACAAACACAAATATATAATATATTTCTAAAATAATTTATATAAAAATATACTACAACACAAAAACATACACTTATTATTATTATTATATACAATATCTCAATGTAAACAAGGTGAGAGTGTGGGTGTGATCTATTCTGAGGTGAGATTATTATACATGTTAAAGTAATTGTATATATGTTTTTTTAAATAACAAACATGTCATACTTACCAGCTCTGTGCAATGTGCACAGTGCTGGATCAAGATCAGGCAGTATAGAGGGGGTTAAGAGGCATCATGTGCACAGGTGTTTTGTTTTTTTTTACCCTAATGCAGAGAATGCATTAAGGTAAAAAAAACTACCTTTTTACCACCACTGCAACTAATATTATTTTGAATTTTACAATGCTTGAAGTGGAGGGGCAAGCGTTTGGTGGAACAGATTTTGTTTTGGCATGTCTTTTAATGGTTCTATAGGTTGACATAGATAATTAAGTGAACAAATTTTGAAATGCTCAAGGTGAAAATAAAAAGCATTAATGTATTTAGTATTTGGTTTTCACAGCCCCACTTATCAGAATCCATGATCATACCATCCTCGGGCACAACTATCACCCAGCAGGGCTATAAATATGAATGCTATGCTTAGCTGAATGCTTACAAAAACCTATCAATGTGCCCAGACAGGACAATAGTAATTGGTTTCATTGCAGACACCTGCTGATGCTCATCTTCACTGCACTCCCTGCTGCAGTGTTCATTGGAGCAAGAGGCCTAACCTTTGTAAGCTCCTGCTCAAATCATAGTGTTGCAACTGACAATTGACCTTTGTACTGCATCCTGGGATATTACATGCTCCCCCAGTCTCAGAGACACTGGGTACACAACATTGGGGGAGTGCTGTGCAGGTGGATACAAGTGGGTGTGGGGAGATTCATACAAGAGGACCTGTCACTTTTAAGTGAATGAAATAATGAGGGAAAAAATAGCTCTAGCAGATACAAAAAGTGCTGCTTACTTTATGGGGCAAGAAAAAAGAAACTGATCAGAGTTGTGAATATGATTCGTTGTCTCAGACAAGGATTAACCGATGGGGTTACAGGAATTCCCATAGTCCAATCAAAAACTGTTGACTTTAGTTTGATTTCTCTCTCTTGTTCTTCAGTCAGGGGGAAGCTCACAGCACCGACTCAGCGCCACAGGACATGGCATGCTCTTTTCAGCTGGAACTTTCCTCTATGTTGCTACTGTTCACGTCCTACCAGAGATCCAGTGGCCGAGGGCACAATCAACACAATGGGGCATCCGAATACAGACATCAAGGATTGGGACTGTTAGAGAGCCTGACACTGGTGGTGGGAGCCTTCCTCCCAGTCCTGCTATCATTAGGACTTCATGATGGCTGAACAAGGACTGAGCGCACCCTGCCAACGGTCAGGATTATTCTACTGGCAACAGTATGAGGAAATAATGCCAAACACAAGGTGAATTCTCTGGGACGATAGAAGATAAATAGGACTTTTTTTTTTATATAGAACAGGAACTTTAAAATGACCAGATAAATCTGCTCTCTATTTTCCAAATTGTTGTATTAACGTCTAACGTGCACAAAATCTAATAAATTATTGTGACTAGTAAAAGTAGCCTTAAAGAGATTCCATTCTCCTGAGCCTTGCTCAGGGGTTTGCGTCAGGCAGTGCTGTCCAGTTTTGCTGGCAGTCACTTTTGTATTTGGCCGACAGCTGTGTTTGTGTTCATTCATAAAGGGAATCTGTAACGCTTTTACAATGTTTGTTTTTTAATTTATAAACTATATATTTAAATACTTTATTTATTTAGCTCTTTGTGTTTCTTTGGAGAGATTTCCTGTCCTGATCATGTGACGAGAAGTGAGGAGAATCTCCTCAATGGCGACAGATCATTAAAACCTGAGGTTCTTCCCCATTCAATTATATTAAATATTTTAATCATAGATGTACATTTAGCCATATGTTCTCATTGTATGTGCAGGCTTTTAAAGAACAACTTCAAGTTTTGGGAACATGTTACACGTTCCACCTTTTTTTTTTTTTTTTTCCAGTGACAGCGAGTCAGGGATCTACCCCCCCAACCATTCCTGCTACTTAACTGACCAGATCAATATCCCAGGAGGTTAACTGACTTGATGCTATACTCTGATACTCTGATTAAAAAGTGTTACTTTAATTTTTTGGAGCAGTGTATATCAATGAAAGCATTTATTTCTGTTCAGTTAGGCAGACATTTATTGATCCTGCCAGAAATTCAGAGCTGTCCTGTTCTCACTTCTTGTGTTGTCTCACAGATAATACATTGTAAATAGCCCTCTCAATCCTTGTTATGAGACTGCATAATGATTAGCATTGTGGAGATGATATTGGGGGTGGATCTTTGAAGCTTGATAAGAGAAAACTTGGCAGGGCTGACACCACTCAGTCCACAAAAATGTTGTGTTTTGTCAGCTCACTACAGCTCTTGGCAGCCGTGTCCTTTTCTGGCAGATCAACAGATATTAATGTGTACTTGCAAGGTCTTTGAAAGGATAAAGGGGGAGATGTGTATATATTGCACAGATGTACTGCTTTTGGGTTTTTCTTTTTTTTTTTTTTTTTTTTTTTTTTGCCCTGACATATGCTTTATTTGCCGTAGAAAAAAGTCAGGTCACTGGCCTTGCCATTCTGGGCAGTGGAGCTGTGTAAACAGAACAAAAAAAAGGACAGAGCGTGTTGTCCTTGTGAAGTATGTCATACTTTATTATAAACTTCTTATAAAAAGGTACTCAACAGTGAAGCAATCAATCGCTTGTAAAATCCGGTTCAGTGGAATTTTCATAGTTTACTTTGTATGAGGATGCTGACTGCTGCCAGTGGTACCAGACATTTTCTGATCAATTCAGGCACAGATGGCAATAAAACTGACTTTTTTTTTTTTTTTTTTTAAACCTCAAGCCTGCTCTATCCAAAAGGAAATAAAACATTTTGGCTTCAGTTTGGCTTTCAGTACAGCCCTCGCCAAAAGTTTTGAGAATTACACAAATATCCATTTTCACAAAGTCTGCTTCTTTAGTGTTTTTAGATCTTTTTGTCAGATGTTACTGTGGTATACTGAAGTATAATTACAAGCATATCATAAGTGTCAAAGGCTTTTATTGACAATTACATTAAGTTTATGTAAAGAGTCAATATTTGCAGTGTTGTCTTTTTTCAAGACCTCTGCAGTTTTCCCTGGCATTTTGTTAGTCAACTTCTGGGCAACATCCTAACTAATGGCAGCCCATTCTTGCATAATCAATGCTTGGAGTTTGTCTCAGAATTTGTGGGGGGGGGTTTTGTGTTCACCCGCCTCTTGAGGATTGACTACAAATTCTGAATGGAATTAAGGTCTGGGAAGTTTCCCGGCCATGGATCCAACATTTCAGTGTTTTGTTCCTCGAGCCACTTAGTTATCACTTTTAAATCAGAAAAAACCACAGCGCCCAGGACCAATCTATTGACAAACAGTTATAAGTGAAATGCTGCTGTGCATAGGTATATAAACCAAAACAAATATTCCAATATAAACCAGCGCAAAACACAATTAATAAATAAATATAAAATAATTTTCAAAGTCCAGTGATGAAAATAAGTGACCACAATACCGTGACACAAAAATCTAAAAAATATATATATATAAAAGTCCAGTGATCTAAAAAAACTTTCTTAATAAATATAATAAACTTCAGTGCTTCAAATAATTCTTCCACCATCCACCAGTGCCAAAAACAAACATAAACCGCACTCACCAGATATGGTGAGTAAAACACCTTTCAGGATTATTTAGGGCTCCTGGACCCCCTTTGAGGACTCCTCTATTTTCCACCTCAAACCTATGGGTGATTCTTCAATAGTCTCCTCGCCACACCACCAAGTTCCAACAGGGAGAAAAAAAACTAATAGTGTGATACTGTTATGCCCCTTTTATAATTAATTCATGCCAAACCACTCACATTTCAAAGGATAAAAACCAGCATTTATTTAAGGACATCATACGAATTTTCGAGTAACAAATACGAATTTCACAGCTCCTAGGAACTCACAGCCTTGTATACAGCAGGATGACAGCCTCCATAACAAACAAACTTTCTTACGAACTTTCTTTGCTCGTCAAAAAAATGACCGCCTGGAACACATCCCTCGGTGTGCGTTCCACTCACCGGAAATGACGTAGAACGTTCGGGGATCCGACCGGAAATACGTCAACGCGTTTCGCCCCACCCACAGGGCGTTCTCAAGACTATCACTTTTGCCTTATGGCAAGGTGCTCCATCATGCTGGAAATGGCATTGTTCATCACCAAACTGTTCTTGGATGGTTGGGGGAAGTTGCTCTAGGAGGATGCTTTTGTACCATTCTTTATTCATGACTGTGTTCTTAGGCAAAATTGTAAGAGAGCCCACTCCCTTGGCTGAGAAGCAACCCCACACATGAATGGTTTCAGGATGCTTTACTATTGGCATAACACAGAACTGGTGGTAGCACTCACCTTTTCTTCTTCAGACAAGGTTTTTACCGGATGCCCCAAACAATTGGAAAGGGATTCATCAGAGAAAAGGACTTTACCCCAGCCCTCAGCAGTCCAATCCCTGTACCTTTTTAGTAGAATATCAGTCTGTCCCTGATGTTTTTCCTGGAGAGAAGTGGCTTCTTTGCTGCCCTTCTTGACACCAGGCCATCCTCCAAAAGTCTTCACCTCACTGTGCGTGCCGATACACTCACACCTTCTGCTGCCATTTCTGTGCAAGCTCTGCACTGGTGGTGATCCGATCCCGCAGCTGAATCAACTTTAGGAGACGGTCCTGGTGCTGCTGGACTTTCCTGGGCGCCCTGAAGCCTTTTTCACAACAATTGAACCTCTCTCTTGTTAATCCAATAAATGGTTGATTTAGGTGCAATCTTAGTAGTAGCCATATCCTTGCCTGTGAATCCCTTTTTGTGTGATGAAATGACTGCATGTGTTTTTTTGCTGGTAAATTAATATTTATGTAATTCTCAAAACCTTTGGCCAGGGCTGTACACTGAGGAAGTATGTCTTCACAGGTTAAAAAAAAAAAAATAATATAATAAAAAAAAATATATATATATATATATATATATATATAATTTTTTCTTGACATACACTTCAGTGCTTATTCACCCTGCCCAGATCAGCCTATTTTTGATGTGGATAGGTGTTTATATTCAGCTGCAGCCGCTCCAGCCTGTAGAAATCAATGAAGTGATTACTCATGCAAGTGATTACCTGCAGTTAGGGACAAATGAGTGGTGCTAGTTGCAAACCGTCTGCATATAGGACTGCTCACCTGTCCCTAGTTGCATGTAATTGGTGCTTCTAGGCTATCCCCCGCACACGAATTTGTCCCAGAAGACTACAGGGAGGACAACTTCTGCATCCAATTGCCCACTCCCCAAAGGTAACAATTTGTCATGGAGAGCTGGGGACTACTACTTAAAGCGGAACTTCCCCTTTTTTAGTGGAGCTCCGCTTTTAAGTCAACTAGCAAGGCCCCTTTAACAAGAAATGATGGCATAAAGAAAATATAATAAAACAAATATCACTGTAAAAATAAAAAAAAGTAGCCTACCTTAAATGGTTTGCTTCTGTGAGAAACTTGGCATTCACTTTCATTTACGATTTTTTGGTAATTGGTTGCAAGTCTGATGCAGGAGTCCATCATGAAGGCAGGACAGCTGGTGATGCAGGCTGACTTGCTCAACTAGTTTCAGGCCTGAAACTAGCTTCAATACTGGGCTGGCTGTCTGCTCTGATTTCTGGCCTGACTGGTTGGGTTGAGTTCTGGTTAGTGTAAGGGCAGTGCACATGGTTCATTAGTATGTAGAGCAATGTACTGGCATCAGTAGATTCTAGGGCTGAGTACAGGGGTCAGTTGTTTGCAGGGCAGAGTACAGAGGTCAGCAGGGTAGTATACAGGGGTTCAGCAGAGCAAAGGATGGCTGAGTGGGGGGGGGGGGGGGGAGAACAGGGGTCAGCAAAGAAAAGAGTCAGCAGGGCAGAGGACAAGGGTCAGCAGGGTGGTGTACAGGGGGTCAAAAGTGCAGAGGACAGGGAGCAGTAGGTCAGAGGGTGGTAGGTCAGCAAGCCAGAGGACAGGGGTCAGTAGAACAGACGACTGCATGAACAGCAGCTGCAGTGACTTTACTGCAGAGATCAGAAGGATCAGTGCCAGTCTCCCAAAAATACAGCAACATCCATCATGTATGGCCTGGAATTTTGCTTGTTACTCTAGGTGGAGATAACTCCGCCTATACATACTCTCTCATTCAGTGTTGGGTGCAGGAACACCAACATCGTTCCAACGCCCAGCACCCTGCTGCCACTCTACTTTCTGCAT